CCCGGGACAACGAACCGCGGCCAGTGGGGGCCGCGATCGGCCGAACCTGCCGCGTCAGCAGGTAAATAAATCTGGCCCGGCCTGCCAGGGTGCTTACCCTGGCGAGCCGCGTGCCAACATTGCCGACTCCTGCTATATGGAAATCCACTCTCCACACCCACAGCCCACCTTTCTAGGGTGAGCTGCACAGAACTCCATGGGACACAGGAAAAGTCCACCTGCATAGGGGTTCTTGTTTTTATCTTGCATGTCACTGCAGAAAGTTGTAAGCTGTTTTGGGCCATATGTGCCCGTGTACAGAGCACCAGAATTTGGTCCTACAGAATGAATTTGCTTCACACAAAAACATGTAACAAATATACAGACAGGAGGTTAAATAGGATCAGTAAATGGGGGAAACTATGCATGTTTAGTGGTTACATGTAGCATGACAGGCATATCACACTGGGGCAGGACCTTGCGAGAAACTCCCTTTTTCAGTCATTGTAGATGAGATATCACCAAGACAACATTACTTGGTGTCCAAAGCAGGTGCACACAAACCTCCACGTTCTCCTCTTGTCAATGCAATCTATAGATTAGCACCACAATTAGCCTCAAAAGAGAGGGTAATTACAAAACGGAGGCTAGATTTAGGGATTTAAATCAAGGAACAATAAAGGCCCAGATTGGAGAACTGCATAGTATATGACTTTTGCAAGTCTACCAGGAACATTTGCATACACATAAAACAATTGTTCACAGCCTAAGGGCTATAAGGGAATGAAAAGAAACATAATATAATGCAACGTAGAAAATAACTACCTTCAATGCTCTGTGGACCCACTAGATTCATAGCCTGGTGTGCTGGATATTCTACTCGGGGTCTGGCAATGCCCAATTGTTCCATAACCCCATGAAGGAGTCTTTGAATATCTGCTTCGGAAACTCTATCTGGGGTCCTAGGGCTGTGACTAGAAGCCAAAACCAATCCAAATGCTAGCAAAGATACCATGTTATAAAACAACGTAGTTGTCATTCTGATGGCCATTTTTAACCTGTGAAAATAAAATACATTAAGTAGATAAATGATAAAGTGAGTAAAATACTGACTGCATATCTCAAAGAACTTGTCAGGTCAGCTTCCATTATCAGCTAAAAGAATTTTTCAAATGGGGAGGTGAAATTTTGGGGGAGAAAATTGTGGGAGTCAGTAAACAATTTCTGCATAGCATTGATTCATAGCATTTATTAATTACCTTTCTGCCATGATAAAACAAAATGGACCCACTGATTCACTTGGAAAACTGAAGGGTTAAAAATTAGCTAGGTAAAGTTAGAATGCATGGTTCTTCCTTCTCCCCTGTTTTAATTTAGTATTTTAAAGTATGTCATAAAGCTACGGTGGGAATACTAGGAATTGCTCAGTTTTGTGCTCTGCTTTTCAAACTTTACTCTTCCACTTGCTCTAAGAAACGAAATACTCCCCGTTTTTTTTAAATGGGTTGTATAACATTTTTATCTCCCTCACAGATTGACAACCCATCACACACGCTCCCTCTTTCTCTTCATTTCTCCCCATCTAGAACACACAGGCTTCATTTATTCCACTTGAATACGTTTCACCAAATGGCTGCTCTGCCCGCATGAGACAGGCACAGAATCCAGTAATGACCACTTGTCATTCTCTTTATAAAACTACGTTTTAAACAACCTGTTTGTCCTTTTTGGTCAGCTGCTGTCATAGGAAAACGGATTTATTAGTGTATGGTTATGTTAATGAAAGTCTATATTATTCACTTGCCCTGCTTTTCCAAACCAGAGACTTAAAGATCTGTTTCTCCCTTTATGGTATTTTTCCCCCTAATATAATAATGTACAGTAAAATGGCCTTGAGCCCTGAGATAATAATGGCAGAGAAATCCCACCTAAAAAAAATTGGAAAGAGAGAGAGATTCTCCTCCTCCCTGCGTGTGGCTCCCGAATGCCCCACATCCTTGCTCTGTCACTTGATCTCCAGGAGATCTTCACCCCACTCACTAGCAATAACCTTGGGCATTTGAAAGAAAAATGGATCCTTTCTGGCTACTAGATAGATAAGGGATAAATGTACCTGCCTCCTGTGTGTCTGTCTGTCTGTCTGTCACGCGCACACAGCCTGTGCCCCTCCTCTCCAGCCCCAGTAGAATCCTAAGCTTAAAACGCCCCCGAAAGCCATCCTCGCGGATTATTCCCTGTATGCAGAGCGAACCCCATCCGCAGGGCTGAGCAGCATCGGGGTAGAAAACACCTGCCCCTCCCCCGCGCCCCACCCAACCCTTTCAGCCTGCTCCCCTGCCTGCAAGCAGCCATGGAGGCCGCCCCGGCGGAGGCACAGGCGAGATGCGCGGCACTCACCGCCCGGCGCTGGGGAAGGCGAGCTCTCGCTAGGCAGATGTGGGGTGGCACCGGCTGACTGAAGCGCCGAGCAGAAGGAGGCGGCGGCCTGTGCTGTGACCATTCATGCGCAGTCCCAGCCCCCTTCCCCCGCCTTGCCTTGTCCCTGCGGCAGGTGCGGGGGGAAGGTTGTCATGTCAGCAGCATCCGTTTCAGCGAGATGCTGCCGCACAGGGACTAGGCATAGCAGGGCCAATCGGCCCCCTCTACACACACACAGGGCAGCCTAGGCACCAGGCACCCTCTGTATACACAATACTGTGTGTGGGTCACACACGCCACAGCTATACAAGAGCTGACCTCCACAGTTACCTACCCAACAGGGTGAAGTGTGCATATAGTTCAGATATACACCCACAGACGATGCGCATTCACACACGCACACACAGGGACTGCATGGTGCAAACATAACACAAGCCAGTAGGTGAAAATAACAAACTAGACGGGGTGGGTGGGAGGGGAGTGTTAAAGGCAACTTTTTGTTCTATATGAGACTGAAAGGGACACCCATAAATCTCCTGGACGATTCGGCAGCTCATGTTCAACCGCTATTCAAGTTGTTTTGAATAGAAAGACCATTCTGCTGCTAAATAGGTTAGGACGGTAATCAGCAACCGATAGGGCCTCAAGGGAAAACAGCCAGGACACGTAGGTGGAAGAAGCCAGGATAAGAGACACCCTAAAAATTCTCATAAGTGTCTGAACAGATCTAACTGTAATGGTAAAGCAGATGGCAAAAGTAGTCTGGAAGGTGTTTATCGGATAACTCATTACAGAAAGAGTGAGCAACTAAATTGGACTTTTTCATACATTCCCAATTAGGTTTTTTGACCAACAGTTGTTCAGAGTTGATTTCCTACGTGTAACTGCAGATTTAGAGGGCAACAATATAAAGTGACTGTTGATGTGAGTGCTGTAGGAGCCAGTACCTTGGCTGACCCCATTTGTACAGTCACCTATCATGGAGGACATGACTGCCTCTGATTAAAGTATGTTTGCAGTATTGTTGTAGCCATGTTGGTCCCAAGATATTAGAAAGAGAAAGTGGGTGAGGTAATTTTTTTTAATCAGATCAACTTCTGTTTGTGAAATAGACAAATTTTCAATCTGCTCAGAGCTCTTCTTCAGGTCTGATTAAAGTAGCAAGATTGAGTGCGAAAATTCAGAGGAAGGTTTGGCTAAATGAAGACCTTTATCATTTATTTGTGTGTTTGAAGAATAGTAACTATTTAAAAAGTGATTTTACAATGTACAATACCAATGTTACCTGAGGTAAATAAGAGCACTTAATTTTTCAACCTGAAGAAAAAATGTCTCTAAAGAGAACTAGCCTCAGCAGCTGTGCTCCACACTTCTGGTGTGGTTTTTTTATATATACTTTGATCAATGTACTAATCCCTTCCAGGGATCTTATCTTCAGCTGGGTAGTGGCTTATGCTTTACATTAGGGCCATGAGACTTTTAACAGGATGTTTTCAAAATCCTGCTCTACCACTTCCAACATCAGTCGCTGCCTGACTAGTGTAGTTATGTTAGGGTATGATGGAGAACTTTCCCCAGTTATTAACATATTCTGCTTGGTTAAAGAAGTAAACTCACATCTGTAAGGCTCAGAGTAACTCCAGGATGAATGTTAAAAGAAATTACAGATGATGATAAGAAAGTAACTGGTGGGAAATTGGTCTCACTAACACAGTAACAATACACTCCACAGTGAATGTGAGTCTATGCCTTTTGCACAACGGATATTTTCCAATAGTCAAACTGAATACACATTTAGTAAAGATAAACTAGACATTAAACAGGAGAATGTCTTGCCTAAGCCCCGGACTAATTCATGAACAAGGGGAAGATAGTCCACTGAATGCTTAAGTCTTGTGTGTGGTCCAATCCAGTAGGCATACTCATAGGCCACTTACTGGCTCAAGTCCCATTCAAAATTGAAGGGGAACTTCACACCTTATAACTTTTACCCCAGCCATTAGAGCACCCACCTGGGATGTGAGACCCAGGTGCAATTCTTCTTTCTGTCAGCAGGGGAGAAAGCAGAACCCTCTTCAAATTCTACCTTTTAGCTCAGGGGTGGGCAAAGTTTTTGGGCCGAGGGCCACATCTGGGTGGGGAAATTGAATGCAGGACTGGGGCAGGGGGTTGGGGTGCAGGGTGTGGGAAGGGGTTCAGTGTGCAAGAAGGGGCTCAGAGCAAGGGATTGGGGCAGAGGAGGGGTGCAGAGTGCAGGAGGGGGCTCGGTGCAGGGTGCAGCAGGGGGTTGGGTGTATGGGATGCAGCAGGGAGCTCAGGGCAGGGGTTTGGGGTGCAGGAGGGGTGCAAGGTGCAGGCAGGGGGCTTAGGGCAGGGAGTTGGGGGGTGGGGTACAGGAGGGGTTTGGGCTCCAGCCTGGCACCGCTTACCTCAAGTGGCTCCGGGGTGGCAGCAGTGCACAGCGGGGCCAGGGGCCTGCATGCCTAACCTGTCCCTGGCCCCACACTACCCCCAGAAGCACTGCAGTCCCTGGGGGAGGGAGATTGGAGGACTCTGTGTGCACTGCCCTTGCTGTGCCTCCAGGTACTTCCCCCGAAGCGCCCATTGGCCACGGTTCCCCATTCCTGGCCAATGGGAGTTGCGGGGGGCGGTGCCTGAAGGCCAGGGCAATGCATGGAGCCTTCTAGGGCCGCAGGGACGTGGTGCCGCAGGCCAGATCCAGGCTGCAGTTTGCCCACCTCTGTTCTAGCTAGATGCCCTAACATCTGGACTGCATACAGGGTCATTGTCATGTTCACTCTTTCTGCCTCAGACTGTTTAAGTATATATCCACAGTGGAACAGTCATCAGTCAGAGAGAGACTCTGCAGTCCAGTGGTTAAGGCACCTATTGGGGAAATAGGAGAGCCCAGGTCCAGTCCCCCAGCACTAATCACTCTTCCATTATTTATCTAGAGCAGATGAGCTTAAACAAGAGACTGAGGGAACTTCCCCCATCAGAATATCCCATAGCTAATGATTAATGCCCTTGCCTAAGAGGTGGGAGACCCCTCTTTAAACCTTCTCCCTAGCTCTGGCAGAGAGGGGGGGAAATTGAAATTCAGTCTCCCCCTCACCCAGGGAAGTGCTTTAACCACTGGGCTGAAAGTTATGAGGTGGGCATTAGCAGCTCCTCCTCCTCTGGCCACTTTGTGCAATTCAAGACAGGCACCTAACTCATTCCCTCAAGAAGCAGTTCAGGCAGCTGGTTCCCATTCCCAGATTGCTAAGCAGACAGTCACATGCCTACAGCCTGAATTTACACACCTGTCTTTGAGAGAGGTGTGGGGCTTTACACCCCTGCTATCAGCATCTCCCATTGGCCAGGTTAGGCAGAATCTCCTAACATGCTGGCTTTTGTAGATCACATTCTGAGGCACCTCTCTCTCCCCATCTGTTGCATAGGGAACCTAGGCACCTAATTCAGGCTTGGTGGATCGCAGTGTTGTTCCTGCGATTTTTCTAGGTGCCTAAAAGTTAGGCACTGTGATACTCAGCATTGCACCACCTAAGTCTCTTTGTGGATCTAACCCCTAATAGTTAAAGAAAGTGTAAAACCTGGTTTTATCCTTAGTTGTAGAGTGAGGCTTGGTCTACACGAAACCCCCAAATCGAACTAAGGTACGCAACTTCAGCTACGTGAATAACGTAGCTGAAGT